TTAGCATAACTCATTAGCATATGCCACACCCCCTGACATCACGGGAAGTGTGTCATAAGGCCACACCCCCTGACATCACCGGAAGTGTGTCATAAGGCCACACACCCCGCCCCCCCATGAGGGGCCCGGCGGTGGACCTGCAAGGCCGGCGGGAGTGCAAGGAAGCCCCGCGAAGGCCCTCCCTGGCCCCAGGCAGGCAGGGGTGGGGAGAGGCAGGGAGGAAGCAACTTACCCTCCCTCTTCTCCTGCTTCCTCCTGGCTGAATGAAAGCCGGAAGCAGGGGGCGGGGCTTCATCATGTGCCCCGCCCCCTGCACCTCACCCAGGGGGACTGCGATCCCCCGCGATCCCACCCGAAATGACCTCTGCATGTAGGTATAAAAATTAAATCTTTTTATCCGAGATCTGATGAGAGCAGGCTGACCTGAGCCACCCACATCAGGGCACGGTACCTACCAATATCCTCTTTCCACCGTGTCCATCCAGTTTGGTGTGGTGGTTCAGTGCGCAGACCCTAATCTGGGAGAACCGCGTTGGATTCCCCACTCCTCCACTCGCAGCTGCCGGATGGCCTTGGGCAAGCCGTAGTTGTGTCAGAGCTGTTCTCTCAAGAGGAGTTCTCAGTCAGAACTCTCTCAGCCCCACCTACCTGACGGGGTTTGTTGTGCGGAGGGGAAGAGGGAGGGGACTGTAAGCCGCTCTGAGACTCTGATTGAAGGGCAGGGTATAAATCCAATCTCTTTTCCTCCCCCTCCCCCTATCCCTATGGCTAGGGAGGGAACAGGAGCTCCCATCCAGCCCCCCAGGGCTTCCCAGCTGGGCGCCAGCATAGCTGCCCCCGCACCCCAAGCGTCCCACCTCTGCCATTACATCCCTCCCTCCATACAGGCCAGGGCCTCTGGGTGGAGCCAGCTAAAGAGCATTCTTTTAAAAAATTTAGATATTTTTATCCCACCCTTCTGGAAGGAGCTCAGTGTTGGCCTGTGTTGGGTCCAGTGTTCCCTCTAAGCTGAGTTAGTGTGAGCCAGCTCAGAGTTTTTTAGCCTCCAGCTCACAGATTTTTGTCTTAGCTCAGGGAGGAGGGCTCCAGAGCAAACTAATATATACAGTAGCCAAACCGCTCGCTCACAACTTTTAATGCCAGTAGCTCACAAGGTAGAATTTCTGCTCACAAGTCTTCACAGCTTAGAGGGAACATTGGTTGGGTCCCCCCCCCCATTTTATTCTCCCAGCAGCCTTGAGAGACAAACTTGAGTGTGACTCACTCAGGGTCACCCAGGAAAACTCCACAGGTAAAAGAAGACTCAAACCTGATCCAAGTCAGCCTCCTCACTCTGCTTCTCTGGTTCCCTTAAGTCCCAAGAGAGGACAGGTGTGCCTCCAGCGGCTCTTCATGTGCCTGGGCCTCGGCTTACGCGGCGGGGGGGGGGACATTACGTGGCACTCGGGTGCAAGAGAGAGCCCCATGCCCGTGCGTGCTTAAGGCGGGCCCTTTGACAAGCTCAATTCTGAAACTGGCCCCTCTAGAAACAGCAATGCCGGGCAGGACTACTAAAGGAGATTTAAAGGCACAGAAGGGTAACTCTTCAAACAGATTTAATTGCTGCTCCGCCTGCTGTAGCTCTGTGAGTCCAGACCAGGGGTCCCCGACCTTTCTGAGCCTATGGCCACTTTTGGAATTCTGACACAAGGTAGCAGGCACGATGGCACAAAATGGCTTCCGGAGGCCCTGCCCTGGATAGCCCAGGCAAGCCCGATCTGGTCACATCTCAGAAGCTAAGCAGGGTCAGCTCTGGAAAGTACTTGGAAGGGAGACCTCCAAGGAATACCAAAGGCGGGAGGCGGGGTCAGGCTTTATTCAGCCCCCTCTCTGAATACCTTCCAGGCCCCCAGTAGGGATCAGTCACCGGAGGTTGCCATGACTTCCTGGTGCACACACGCTCACATGCGCATATGAAAAAAAAAACCAAAAAATGGCTTCCGGAGGAGGTGGAGCTAGCAAAAGATGGCTGCCAAGGAGTGAGGTTAATACATAAATGTAACTGTTCAACATTTCAAGGCAGGAGCTGAGCTTCATAGGATACCTTTTACAATGAACACATTGTTTTAAAATATCATCTTTCATATACCCAGTTTGGTGCAGTGGTTAAGTGCGCGGGTTAGATTCCCCACTCCTCCACTCGCAGCTGCTGGATGGCCTTGGGCAAGCCATAGTTCTGTCAGAGCTGTTCTCTCAAGGACAGTCCTTGAAAGAGCTCTCTCAGCCCCACCCGCCTCACACAGGGTGTCTGTCGTGGAGAGAGGGGAGGGAATGGAGTTTGTAAGCCGCTCTGAGACTCCAAGTGAAGGGCGGGGTATAAATCCAATCTCTTCTCTCTCTTCTGCCCAAGCTGACCTTCTCTCACACGGGGAAGATTCCTTGTGCTGTGGTGGCAACTGCTGCTGAAGCAACTTTGTAAAAATCTGCACAGCCAGTCAAATCTCAAATGGCCAATAAGAAGCAAAAACTCCACCTGGTCTCGCCCACTTTCTGAAAACACTTGGTGGGCAACCAGGAAGGGTGTTGGGGTGGGCATCCTGGCACCCACGGGCAGGGCTTTTTTTTGTAGAAAAAGCCCAGCAGGAACTCATTAGCATAATAGGCCACACCTAACAGCTGAAACTCATTAGCATATTAGGCCGCACCCCCATGTTACCAGAAGTGTGGTCATCCAGCCACACCCACCTTTTGCTTGTTATTCTGCTTACCTTGTTTGTTGTCAAAACCCAGGGCCTTTTTTTGTAGCAGGAACTCCTTTGCATGTTAGGCCACACACCCCTAATGTAGCCAATCCCAATGAGTTTCTGCTGTTGGGCGTGGCCTGTTATGCTAATGAGTTCCTGCTGGGTGTGGCCAACTCGGGAGCCAGCCGGAACTCCGTTCCTGTGCGTTCCTGCCCAAAAATAGCCCTGCCCACGGGCACGATATCAGGGGCCCCCCAGCCTAGACATTTTTAAGCACCCTCATGAAGCAAACAATTCCCGGAGAGCGGCCCCTGTTTGTGCTTGCCTGGGAGACGGCCAAGGAA